ACGCAGCCAGCTGCTGCAAAGCGTTGCCGGGCGCGGCTCCCACCCAGGCAGCCCGCGAGCGTGGCTCCCCGCCCTCCCCGCCGCCAAGGCGCGCCCTGGGCGCAGTGCCGCCAGGAGGGGGGGGTCCCAGCCCTGGGCCCCGTGCGCCCGTTGCAGTCTCGGCCCGACTTGAGCGAGCAGATCCTCCGCTTGCTGGCAGCGGGAGGGCGGGCTCCGCGGCCAGGGACCCCACGACGCCCTCGTAGCTCAGGCGATGCTGCACCCCAGCCCCGCAGGCGCCGCGGCGGTCGGTCCCGGGATGGCCCGCAGTCCTTACCTGGCCAGGCCCGTCCCGTGCGTTCGCGGGGCCCTGGCGGAGCCGGCACCGAGGCTGGGGCAATCGCTGATCTCTCGCTGCGATGCTTCCCGGCAATGGGGGCGCGGGGTGCGCGCGGGGTGCTGCCCAGGCCCGGCTGGGCGGGCAGCGGTGGGGCTGCGGCTGAGTCAGCGCCCCCGGGGCGAGCCGGGACCAGCAGCCGAGAGGGGGCTCTGAACTGAGCGGCGGCCGCCCAGGCATTTTAAAGGCGAGGCAGCTGGACGCTGTTCAAGCGGAAACGCAGGGAAAAACTTCAGCCCCCGGGGTACAGCGTTGGATGCGCGGGGAGGGGGTCCAAGAGCCCCCGCAGGCGCGTAAACCAATCTGGGCTGGGCTGAGCTGACACGCTCTTTAAAGGTTTTCTCTTCAGATTCTCCCTTTACTGTTAAATAACCCTTTCCAAAGCCTCTGCCTGCATTATGCTTAATAATACAAATATTTCCATTAAAGTTGATGCGGGGGGCAAGACCAGGAGGCTGGTTTGGAAAGTCTGGGCAATGCCATTAGACAAGAGGAAGAAATAGGGTGATAGGGTGTAAAAATACAAGTCGTGCCTTTGTTTTTTGTTTTTTGTTTTTGTTTGTTTTTTTAAAAAATAAAAAACTGGAAAGGAGGAGAAAAACAATTTCTATTTGCAGAAGATGTGATTGTCCAGTTGGAATATCCAGGCTGAAGATGAAGTGAAATAGTAGCGTTTGCTGGTTGGTCGGTAGGTTACAAAATAAATATACCGAGTTAAGAGAATTCTGGTGCCCTCACTAACCAACCGGAACGGGACTGAACAATGCCATTCTCACTAATACCAAAACCATCAAAGCTGTGACCTGAACTTTTCTGGGAATGTGGAAACAAAGCAATGCAAGTCAAACGAAACCACAACACCATTAAGCTTCTATTCTCTACTTGGGCCCCAAAGAAGAATCTAATTTGTTCAAACACAAGCCTTATTCTGGGACAGGAAGTAAACATTCTACCCCTATGGTGTGGTATTGATCTATAAATTCAACACCCGTCAAATACCAAATAGGGTTTTCTTTTAACTCGGCCTGTGGTTCTCAGTCTTATGTGGGAGAAGAGCGAACAGTCCGTAAGATGTTGAGGAGATGAGAGGAAGGGCAACTCGTCCTGCTGGGTGTTAAAACCGAGAGATGTGTGTGGGGCTGAATGAATGAAGGAGGAATTGACAGCACTGATTGAGGGCCTCCTATGTCAGGAAGTGCTTTACGCGTATTAATGCATCTTATTCATCAAAACAACCCTAGGAGGCAGATACTGGTAACGCCATCACTCGGAGTAGGCCAGGGATGACACACACACAGGGTCACAAGGGCAGAAGTGGCCGATGAGAGGTTTCAGAACCTCGGCCTCTGTGTGTGCAAACCTCGTGCCACCACACCGCCTTTCTCACAGAGCACCCCTCGTTGAATACCAGGTTACTGGCCCAGAGATGACCATCCAGTGGAGTAGAACAAAGAGCTCAAAGAAGAAACGGTGGTGTTTAAGGTGGTGATTAAACTGGATGGGGTGGATAGATTTTGAAATAAACGTCGTTGGAATAACTAGATCGTTATTAGCGGGGATCTGGTTTTCCAGCTCGTTCCCCCCATCACAATTCCTTCCAGATCCATCAACTATTGGATGTAAAAAAGCGAAACCAAGGGTTGGCCTTGTAGCCTAGTGGTTAAGGGAGCCAGATCCCACATAGATAGTTCACTGTGGTTCAAGTGCCAGCCCTGGTGGCCTGAAAAACACACCAGGCGAGCGTGTCTGGGTGCCCATAATCTCAACAGGATGAGGGAATAGAGGAGAAATGATTGCAGCGTGACCCCACCCCATCGGAGGATGCTTTTTCAATTTCTCCCTCTGACTGTCTCAGGCAAGAGCATGTGCACTCTGAAAAAATAAGTAAATAAGCAAAACATAACCGGATGACGATTAGGTGAGTATTTGTCATAAATCCTTGATTCTGAAGGTCTTTCTAAATATATTATGAAGCCATAAAGGAAAAGTATGATAGATGTGACTATAAAAAATTAAACTCCTTTAGGAAAAGAGACACCGTAAACCAAATTTAATAATAAATGACAAGCTGGACAGAAATATGCTAAGTTGAACAACGAGCAACATAAATGCCCAGTTCAGTTTGAAGTCCAGATAGACAATGACTAATTTAGTATGAGAACGCCCCGCTCGTTGCCTGAATGTCACATGTAACTGGATGGCCCATGTTTTATCTGGTACCCCAATGACGATAGCAGTATTTTAATGCAGTTATTATGTAGCTTTGATAACCATTTAAAAAGATGGCAATCCTAGTAGAACAATAAAAGGAAAAATCCACAAAATAAGTAAAATAATCCAGTAAACAGGACAAAGTAACCATCTTCTTTAGCAATGAACTAAATGCCAGTAAGCTCAGAAAGTTGTACTTTTTACCTAGTGGCTGAAAAAAAAAATTAGAGACAAAATGCAACGCGTCAACTACAACATTGATTGAGGGCTTCCTACTTATGGAAGTGCTTTACATGTATTAATGCATGAGAAGTTTGGGAAAATGGGCATTCTCTCTCTTGGCTTATGAGAATGCAAATTAGTATGATATTTCTAGAAGGCGGCTTGAGAACAAATACATTGCATACTTTATGTTCATTGCAATAAACCAAGCAAATCCATTTTTTTCTTCTTTTTTTATTTTGGAGAGGTTTTCACTATAGGGCGCACGCGCTCGCCAGACAGACAGAGACATAGAGACAGAAAGCGAGAAATCACCCCCCAGGGGGGATGGTCACACCGCAATCCCTTCTCCTCCATTCTCCTCTCGGGATCTTGGGCACGCACGCACACGCGCCCGGCGTGAGTTTTAAGCTACTGGGTCCGGGACGTGAACTGCAGTCGACTACGTGGGAGTCCAGCGACCTAGCCATTACGCTAACTGCTGGTTCCCAAGCAAATACATTTTCAAGAATTTATCTAAAGAGATCATTTGATAAGTGAACAAAATACATATGGCTATTGCTTCGTATAAATTATTTTTATAAAGAATTATTTATTTAATTCTATTTGTTGTTGTTATTATTTAATTTGACCAGAGAGAGGAAGAAAGGGAAAGTGAGAAAGTAAGCTGCCAGGTCTGGGACTCGAACCACAGTTGGCCATGTGGGAGTTCAGCACCTGAACCATCATGCCACCTGCTGGCCCTCGAAATCATTTTTAATACTGGAAAATTGGAAAGAACCCAACTATCTATCAATAGTAGACTAATTACTTAAAATAATTAAATGATAGTAATATGTATTGAGATTGTTACGTGACTTCCTGTTTGGTGCACTTCCTGTGTGTTAATATACTTAATTATCAAAAAACACACTAAATGACCATAATTTAAAAAAACCTAAATAACTAAATTTTTTAAATCCAATAAAAAAAAAAAAAGAAACTAAATGGGGAAGCATCGCCAATGTCTCCACTTGACAGAAGAGAAAGCAGAGCGGAGGGTGAAGCGATGTCCCCAAGGTTCCACAGCAGGAAAATGGGGCTGGGATTTGAACCAAGGCTGTTTCCCTCCAGAGACCATGTCCTTAGCTATTTCGCCGTGTTGCGTGGGTACGGCACTCTCATGGATAGCTTGCTGGCGCCAATTCACCTGTAGGGTGAAGCGCGACGTTGTTATTTAAAATGACAGTGCAACTCTATACTTACTGTCATGGGAAATGTTCCTGACGTTGTTAAGTAAGAAATGAAATGTTCCAACCCACCTCTGTGGTGTGATTCCATCTGTGCAAAATGGAATCTATATGGATAGATGCAGACATGAATAATCACTCATATAGCTACAGCCTTTCTCAGTAATATGATTTGGGTTGGCTTTTAGTTAATGTTTTATTTTCATTAAAAAAAAAAAAAGATTCCCAGAGGGCACTTGCCCTCCTGAGAGAGAAAGGTGGAGAAAGCCGGCCTGTGATCAGAGACATGGGTCCCAAAGTACTGAGATTAACCCCCGCACCATGGGGCCGGGCCATTGTGCAGTTTTTAAAACCTTTCTCTTTACACTTTCCTTAATGGCTTAGATTTTAAAATTGTAATCGTAAGGGACCAACATAGGGTGTATTGGTTACGTTGCTGGACTCCCACATACTCGACTGCAGTTCGAGTCCTGAACCCAGTAGCTTCAAAATTAGGCCGGGCATGTGTGCCCAAGATCCCAAGAGGAGAATGGAGGAGACAGGATTGTGGCATGGCCATTCCCCTGGGGAGGGCTGATTTCTCATGTTCTGTCTCTGTCTCTCCAGTGAGTGTGGGCGCCCGATAGCAAAAATCTCCTCTCTCTCTCTCTCTCTCTCTGACAAAACAAAATTATAATCATGTTATTTCAATATCTAGGAAAAGGAATCCTAGGAGGAAATTCCCATTTTACGATTCGGTCTCACCGTAGTTCAGTATTCTAGGCTTTCTCCAAGCTTTTATCTTTTCCTCCAAATGCTGCAGGCTCAATCCGGATCACGGAGGTTTGTCAGCTGCAGGTGGGGGTCCCAAGCATCCCTCGTGGATCTCCTCCCTGCCCTCTGACTGCCATCACAGAGGACGCTAAGAACCTGGGCAGGCCCCGTCCGTGCCCTGTCCCTCCTCTCTGCATTTCGGAGAGGTCTGGCAGATGACCCAGCCCGGCATGGAGATGCTCAGGGGAAGGTGTCCCTGTTCTAACAAGACCTCGGAGGATTTGTGTGCCCAGTCAAGTCTGAGAAGCCTGGTCCCGAGGAGCCTATGCCCTCTGAGGTCTGCAGAGGGCAGAAAGGGCCGCAGTTGTTGGGCTCTCAGCTCCCCTTCCACCCAGAATGGGTGACCCCATTGTGTGTGCAGAGAATGTGCATGTGGCGGGGGGGGGGTGCATGAGCCATAGGATTGAGGAGTCTGTTGAGAGGTGCTAGAGGTACCTGCTTCCAGGAAAGGTCTGAGGGGTATGAGGAGCCTTTGCTCCCAGGAGCTGTGCCTGCAGAGCCTGGTCTACCACAGACTCTGCTCTCCCTCCTGGTGGTCTGCACCTGCTCCTCCTCCTCTGGGAGCCTACCCCACCCCACCCTGGCTCTTGGCATTTCTCTTGGAGTGGGATGGATCCCCCACTTCCCTGTGCATCTCTCACAG